TTTTTTTACAGTATACATGTAGATATATATAATGTGATTTCGGCTTATCCCTTCACTTATTATCCTTAAATTTAAAAGTCAGAGCTGGGTACATACTTGAAATTTATAAATTTAGTTGAAAATTAGTGTCATGATTAGTGTCATGATTTCGTCATTCTGACTTATTTAGTAAAAAGTTAATATATATGTGATATCTATAATACATTGTTCTCTATAAAAGACCTGTTTATTGCCTGTTCTATGTTTTTTTTTAATCTTCACGACTAAAAAACATTCATATATAAAAAATGACAGGAATTAATCCATCCATTGATCGCGTATCTGAGAACAAATCCGTAAATACAGATGCCGTTGGTGCGCCAACTGTTGCTGACAAATATGAGAACACGCGTCATTTAAAGTATGGTCAAACAGAAAATCAAAAAAATGCGAACGTCCCAGAGTCTAAAGGACATGAAAAGAAGGAAGAAAGGTAAGTATTATTAAATGAAAATTGATTTTGAGTATACGATATTTCCTATTTGAATATAAATTTTTAATGATTTTTTTATTTTCAAAATTCGTATCTAGTCTTTTGAATCCTGAACCAAATCGTAGTTATGCTTCGTGTTCAGATTCTGCACCAACGTTGCATCATTCATTTCATGAAACGTTTTTAAGTGGAGCCACCGGTGTCACTGGTGATGATATGATCGCACATGAAGAAAAGAAAGAAAAAGAGCGAAAAAAGAGAGAACAAGAAAAGAAAAAGACTATGTGAAAAGAATATTTTTTAAAATTTTTTATTTCTTATTTTTTTACTCTTTTAAAATTATTTTAACGGTTATAAGATCTATTTACGTTTTTTAAAATCAATAATTTGTTGTATTTGTTTTAAAAAATGGCATAGAAATATTTTTAGCTGTATTGATTTATTTGTAAATAATGGATAATAAATAATATATATGCGTGCTTCTTGCCAACGCTTATATTCATCGAATATGCATTAAAATATAAAGGCGAATTGATTGTTGTAAATTATTATTAATGTTAATACAGTAAATAGAGCAGGATTATGTACAGAAATACCTCTAAAAAAGGTACGATAAATCAAAAGAAGTTTTGTGTTCGCCGATGTTAGTAAATAACATTATATTTTACTATATACAGTACCTGCTAATCGTTATGTTGCAATGCTAATGGTTAATAAAAAAAGTAAGATCTCAATTTTTTTTAAAAGAATCGGATTTCGATTTACTACTGCGGTTTATGAGATTCAATTTGTATTACCATTCAATTCACAATGATAAAAGATATAATTAATTTGCATCTCGGGTGTCTTACCGCTTAAATTTGTTTAATGAAATCTCTTAAAAATATTTTTATATTCTTTACACAAAAAAAATAAACTGAAAATTACATATGTCGTGCACACACTGTGGCGAAAATAGAATAGAATACGATTCCGCTGCTGGACATGCTTTTTGTCCAAAATGTGGTTACGTAAGAATCTTATATCATAAATCTTTTTTTCTTAATTTATTAAGGAATAAGGGTGAAGATAACTAAATTTTTCGCGATTAAAAGGTTGTTGAAGAAAGTAAAATTGTTTCCGAAGTCACATTCGGAGAAAGCGCGTCGGGTGCTGCTATTCTGCAAGGGGCGTATGTTGGAGCTGACCAAAGTAAAGTATTCTCATTTTAAAATGGTGTATTAATTATTCAATGAAATGCAATTAAATGTCGTTATATGTTACTATATTTATAGGACGTGCTAGAACTGCTGGTCCTTATAGAAGGCATTCTAGTTTAGATTCAAGAGAGCAAACTATCGCTAACGGTATCAATAGAATACTATACATATAACTTGTTAGTAAAGGTTAGAATATTTTGTTAACATATTATAATTGTTGGTAACAGGGAGACGTCAAATTCAAGCTCTTGCTACTGCTCTACGTCTCTCAGATCATTTAATGGAAGCTGCGCAACGATACTTTAATCTTGCGATAACGAATAATTTCATTCAAGGTCGAAAGACTCAACATGTCATTGCAGCATGTCTATACATTGTATGTCGTACTGAAAAAACATGCCATATGTTGATCGATTTTTCCGATATTCTGCAGGTAAGAAAATGCATTTAGGATATTTTTCATTATAACAAATTTTAATTCAAATATGATTTTAGGTTAATGTCTTTACACTCGGTTCAACTTTTTTAAAATTGGTGAATACGCTTCACCTTGTGCTTCCTTTGATCGATCCATCCATATATATCACAAGATTTGCTTCCATGTTGGAATTTGGTGAGGAAACAGGTCGTGTTGCTAATGATGCTGCTAGGCTTTGTCAACGTATGGAACGCGATTGGATGCAAACTGGTAGGCGGCCTGCGGGAATATGTGGTGCATGTAAGTAAATGATAGAATGTCTTTTTGTCAATTTATTATTTGCAAACTTTCCTTTTACCTTTTTACTAGAATTTTTATTATATCTATAGGTTTACTTATTGCTGCTCGAATGAATAACTTTCGAAGAAGTGTTAAAGAAGTTATTGCAGTAGTAAAGACTGCTGATATCACAATTAAAAGAAGGTTCATAAATTTAAAATTTGTAAGTTTATCATTATTATTGCAGTAATTTTGTAATTTACTATTAAATATTTTAATTAGGATTGAAGAATTTAGGGAAACACCTACTGCAAAGCTCACTGTTCGAGATTTTAGAGTTGTTTGGTTAGAACAGGAAAGTGATCCACCATCTTTTACAAGAGCTCGCAAAGCCGAGAAAAACGCGATTGACAGACGACAGCAGACAGCATCTGCCGAACATGATAGTAATGATCAAGCAGAGGCAAATTCGTCTCAGCAGGATGAAACTGCTGATAAAATAAGGCAGGGGGATGATGATAATGATATAGAAGCGGATGGTGATACTGATGATGAATCGAGTGAAATAATAAGGCGACAAAATGATATTGAGGAACAAATAGATCGTGAACTTGAAGAAGAGATGACCTCTTACTTAAATGATCCTGCTTTAAAAAAAATATCTTCGGAAATGGAAGGTAATGAATTATTTCCATTTTCATCACCTTATTTATTATTATTATTTTACTAATTTATAATTTTCATGTTTATAAATAAAAAAAAAGCTAATAAGAAAGGATCCGATAGATCCGATATTATGGATGAAGAGGAAATAGGTTCTGACTTTGATGATGATGAAATAAGAAATATAGTTTTGTCTGAAGAAGAAGTTAAAATAAAGACACAAGTATGGATGGACATGAATCACGAGTACTTGAAAGAAGTTGAAGGTATTAATATAACCAATTTCTTACATTTATTATAAAATGCACCTATGGTGGTTTTGCACATATTATATGTTTTTATATATTTTTTCCAAGTTTATCAGTTTTCTATATAAAATTTTTAGCACAAATTTTTTATGTTGGGTTAGTATTTGTGATAGAATTAAGGTTTGGGAAGGGTTTTTGGGGACGTAGAGTATTTTTACTTAGAGTATCGCATATTAATTAATTAGCCAATTTTTAAAATAATACAACATAGGTGGTAAAACATCATAGGTGCGTTTTAGTAAAAGTGTTTTTTATATCTATAACATATGTTCCTCAAATAATTCACAAAAAATAGCAAAAAGGAAAAAACAAGAAATAGATCGTGCAAACGGTATTGGTGTTCGCAGAGTATGTAGATTTTATTTGTTTATTTTGGCTCAATAATATGTGAATTATTTTAATAAATGAATTCTTTAATTATTGAATAGCATAAACGACCAAGAAAAGGTAAAAATGATGATCAGACAGTTGCTAGCACCCCAGCTGAGGCGGCAAGAAGACTATTTGAAGAAAGAAATCTTTCAAAGAAGATTAATTTTAAAGTTTTGGATTCACTCTTTGATAATATAGCAGGAGGAAGTATGCCAAATACCCCTACTTCATGGCGAGATTATGATCCTACTAGTGTTAGTGGCTCTGGAATTGCACGTAGTGGTACCCCAGCTAGTTCTAGATGGGATGATGAAAATAATGAGGAATTTGGCGATTATTATGATAATGATGATTATGAGGAATTTGGCGATTATTATAAGAATGATGAATACTAGCGTTTACTAATTTCACCCCCAAGTTTCTATTGGCCATTGATAAATCAAATTTCTGATTGGACGAAATAATAACGTGACTTACAAATCGATCAAAAAAAAAAATTCTCGACTTTAATAAAAAAAAAAATTCTCGACTTTAATAAAAAAAAAAAATTCTCGACTTTAATAAAAAAAAAAAAATTCTCGACTTTAATAAAAAAAAAAAAATCTTGGAGTTTTTCCAATAAAAATAAATAAATAAGATCTATTATATAGAAACTATGTTTATTCCAGTATTCAAAAAAAAAACTCAGATTGTCGAATACGGTAATTTGACAAATGATTGGCTATACGCGCCGCAAAGCAACACGTGCTCATTCGCCAAATTACCGTTATTCGACAAATATTGTATACATATTATACCAAATAGTAATCACTCCAGAATTTTTGTAAACATCCGTCCGGCTTAAGATCATTCTGAAATAAGAAAAAAAAAAAATGTAAGACAAATATAATTGCATAGCCAAAAATAAATAAATAAATAAATAAATAGGAATAATTATTCTATATAATTTGGTATAATAAATAAAAATTAAATTACTAAAATATGCAAATTTGAATATTTGTATGTACAAATTTTTCCAGGAAATCTTATAAATTACACTACAAGGAAGCAGAAATATGGACAGTTTGATTTTTATATGAAAACAGGTCAGGATGTTACTCCCCAGAATTGAAAATCATATTTCTAGAACCAGGTCAAGATATGTCTCCCCAGAGAACCAGGTCAGGGTATTACTCCCCAGAACTAGATGTGAACACAACTTCCAGAACCAGGTCAGGACATGTCTCCCCAGAAATCTACAAAGATCAAACTGACTTCACAGCAGAATTTAACCATTCTTCTTTAGTTATATGAAGGAAGGTACATAATCACTCCTTTTCCAGAATGATAGACCTTCATAAACATAAAGAGCTGTGTCATATCTCTGTATTAAAGAAATTTTATAAAGGTAGAAAATAAAAAAATTCTAATTTCTATGACAGAAAGTTATAATTCTAATTTCTACAACAAAAGGAGTCATAATCCAAATTCCTAAAACAAAAAATCATAATCCTAGTGATTACCAGGTCCTTTAACTAAAGGAAGATAGTAACTCACCGGAAGCCCTCCTAAAATTTCTATGGCTTTTGTTTTTTCTTTGTCGAAACTGTTAGCTTCATACCATTGGAGTTGCTGCTTAAGAGTTTTTATGGCAAGGCCTTTATTTTTTGAACAATCACGAATTAGCCACGTTTTTTGATGTTCGAGCGCGTCCTATTGTAATAATCCAATATTCAAAATTAATATCAGAAACTGTCTGTGAATTATTATCAGAAACCATCTTTGTAAAAATGCGTGAGTTTGCATATTCTTTTGTTTATGTCAATATATAGTACCCACAAAAAATTTTAGATCATGTATAGTAATTATTTAATTATTTTCTACAGGGGGATCCCCAGATTTCTGGGTCATAATGGCCAGAATAGGGATAGATCAGTCCTAAAAAGACCGAATAAGGACCGGTCTTTTTAACCAGTCTTATGGTTAACTGGTCCTCGGTCCTGAGACCAGTCTGGACC